TCATGTAATGGTAGAAAAAATATGGAGTACTGAGGAGCAGGGTCTAAGAACGAGTACTTGAGGATTATATAGATAAATTCCAAGATAAATCAAGAGGAACTCGAGGGATGATTGTTCGACCCACAGAAGCTAATTCATCTGTAAGGGATTTTGCCTTTTGAAGATACCGGGAGACTGTAAGATCATGCTTCTTGAGTTCTTGCAATTCAATGTTGAGTTGCAATTGTCGGTTTTGTGATATGGAGCCAGAGGTACTGGCTAATGCATTTCAGACATCATGGGAGGAGGTCATGCCAATGATATAGGGAAAAACCTCTTCAGATAGAGAGGAGAGTAGCCAACACAGCAGCATCTGGTCTGTCTAAAACCAGGTTTCATATTCTAGGTTGGGAATGATTTCATCTGTTTTTTTTGAGTTTATTTTTGTTTTTGGTGGAGCCGGTGAGGTGGGTCGACATATCCCATCAGTTTTTGGTAGTTCAGGAGGGGTAGAAACTGTGTTTTCCAGGCGAGATAATTTTTGCTGGTGAGTTTAATGGAGACAGAGTGATATGATGTAGAGACTGTGTTTTGGTTTGATGCAGATGCCATTGTTTCTGGCTCTGATACCATGTTGTGTTTTGAGAAACTGAGCTGTTATTTTTGTCTATTTTATTGAGGGCATTATATACACATATATATACAGAATATGGAGATAAGAAGGAGAGGAATATGGATACATGCTGAAGGAGAAAAGATGTGCTGCAGAAGCTAAAAGTACGGAGGTAAGAGTTTATCTCCCAACATTTGTGTTCTCCAAGATTGATATAAGGGCAATGTATCCTCAAATCAGGGTAAAGGAGGAAGACATACATAAGACTGTCTTTAGAATCCATCACTAGCATTACGAGTTCAAGGTGATGCCTTTGGGTTAACCAACAAATTAGGTCAAGCTTTGATGAACCATGTTTTCCAAGAATACATTCAGAAATTCGTATAAAGTATTATTTGATTACAACTTTAATTTATAGCATGAACGAACAAGAGTATTTTGAGCAGTTGGATAAAGTAATGACACTACTGCGGAAGCATAAGCTATTTGGCAAGGAAATTAAGTGCTACTTTTTGCAATGCGAGGTTGAGTATTTGGGGCACCTCAACTCATTCTAAGTGGGTAAAACAGACCCAAAAAAGGTTGTGACTCGATTACTTGGCCACAGCAAAAGTCGGTGAAGGCCTTAAGGGGTTTTTTGGGCTTAACTGGATAGTAGCGCAAGTCTATTTAAAATTAAGGGATGATTAGCAAACCCCTTGAAGAAATGCTCAAAAAGAATGCATTCAACTGGACTAAAGAAGCGACTGAAGCATTCCAACAATTTAAGGAAGCCATGACCATCACCTAGTGCTGAGGCTTCCTGATTTTTCCCAGCCCTTTATAGTGGAAAAAATGCATGTGGTAAGGGCATGATGGCATTATTAATGCAGAAGGAGAGGTCAATTGCCTTTATCAGCAAAGCCCTATGAATTCATAACCAAACCAAGTCTGGTATGAATAGAAGCTTATGGTAATATTACATGGAGTGGCAAAATGGTGAGACTACTTCGAATGGACACAGTTTGTAATTGAAAAAGATCAGAGGAGTCTCAATATTGTTTCGACAACATGTTACCTCTATGATACAACAAAAGGGGTTGATTTAAGCTGTTGAAACTGATTATACGATCCAATCTAAGAAGTGGTCTAAAAACAGAGTGGCGCATGTTTTACCAAGAAGGCTGGAGGATGAAGCAGCAGCTGAAATATAGGCAGTAGTGACCACGACCACACCATCCTGGTTACCAGGGGTGTTAGACAGTTATAAGAGTGATATCTTCTTGAATAATTTATCATATGAATTAGTCATAAATCTAAAAGCCGACTTCCTTTTAGTTCGAAAAATGGAATTTGAAGATTCAAGGACTGGATTCTGATAGGTTCAAACACGGATTTAAGGGAAAAATCATGTACTAATGTCAATTCTGTTGTTAGAGGGCATTCAGGAGTTAAGGCAACTAATGAACGTCTTAAACAATGCTTCTTTTGGCAATAAGCCAAACAATAAGTAATCTAATGGATACAGTATTGTAACGTTTGCTGGGGTGCACAATTGAGAGAGTTTTCTTACCACGGCTGCTATAACCCTTAGTCCTTAGTCAGGCTTGAATATATTTTTCATTGGATTTTATTGAGCGGTTATCAAAATTAGAGGCGAAGGACACAATCTTAGCATTTGTTGAGTGTCTTATTAAATAGGATCATTTTATTGCCTTGAAGCATCCCTTCATTGCTCAACTGGTTGCTAAGATTATATGGAGACTATCCGCAGGTTGCACGGGTTACTGAAGGTGTTAGTATCTAATAAGGACAATGTGTTTGCCAGTTTCTTTACTCTTTTAGAAGGAGTTTATGAAGTTGGCTAGGGCAACATTGTACTTCAGTTATTTATATCACCTACAGACTGATGGGCAGACTGAACGGCTTGGTCAGTGTCTTGAGATGTATCTCAGATGTATGGCTCATCAGAAGTCGGAAGGCTTGGGCAAAGTGGCTTGCTCTAGCAAAGTGGTAGAAAAATACTCTTTACTACTCTAGTTTGAAAATGACTCTTTTGCAAGCTGTCTAGGTTTATGCTCCTCCATACTTGCCAGAGATAGTGAATATTCAGGCACTCTCTCAAGCTGTAGAGGATTACTTGAACATTGTAAGATGAGTGGTAAAATTCGTCAGCGCTTGCTTAAGACTCAACATCACACTAAGCAGTATGCTGACTCGCATCCAAGTAAAAGACACTTCCAAGAACATGATCTAATGTTGGTAAAGCTACGACCTTTCAAGCAAGGGTTTGTTTGTAAGGATCAAGCTTATAAAATGTCTACTCGTTTTTATGGACTGTTTGAAATCATGTAGAAAGTAGAGGAGGTGTGGTTTACAAGTTGAAGTTACCAGTTACTTCTCGCATCCACCCGGTATTTCATGTCTCTAAACCGAAGGAAATATGTCAGGGGAAAGCAAACTCAGTTTGAAAAGCTACCCGAGATGGATTTAAGGGGGGTAGTGGTACAGGTGAGGAAGGGAAGGAAGTGGAACAGGTGCTGGTTCATCGAAAAAGGAACCAAAACAGATGATTGCACTTGGGAAGATCATGAATTCTTGCTTCCAAACTTCAAGCTTGAGGACAATGAGGTGGTCACTGTCAGCACTGGTAAGCCTTTGAAAGGCGTGAAGTTAGACTCTGAGGATATGTTGTTATTGTGTGTGTAATTGAAAGAAGTGTAGGACGGAGTCAGTGAAGAGTAAATAATAATAATAAAATAAAAAATAAAAAATGATTACACATGCAAATCATATAATTAGTAATAATGTCATGAGTTCCGTGTGATAATATCCATAATCATATGAGATAAAATTTTTAAATATAAAATTAATTTTAATAATATATAATAATAATTTATTTAAATATAAAAATAAATTTTAATTTTTAATTATCTACCGCTTTATATATTATTTAATTAAAATTTTAAAAATTATAACCTATGCGTAACACAAGGTAGAGAAGTACTACTTTTTCTATATTAACATTTTTGTTGATTTTATGTTAAAAAATTTGAGATTTGACAGATAAACAATACAATAATTATATCGAATAATTAATTAATAAATTCATAAACGAAGACGTATTTTTATAATAAAAGACAAAAAAAAAAAAAAAAAAAATAGTGGTTCTATATAAATTATCAGCCAAAGAATGACCTTTTCCTCTGCATGTGATTTTTTATGGGTATGTAATTAATTGTAAGGTAGACAGATTTTGTTGGTACATACACATATATATATATATATATGCGTGTAGACAGAAAGCACGATACCACCCTCACCAGTCTCCAACTTCCCCAGAAAGAAACACTGGAAAATGATATGAACAAAAAGCTAAAGAAGCTCGCAAAAGAATCAATATCCAAATACACTGCATTTGGAAGAGATAATACGCAATATTTTAAATGTCTATACATACATATATCCATATATATATATATATTGGTAATTACATAATCGTACAATGATTCAGTGGTGGATGCAGGAAACTGTACGTGGAGATCCCAAATCCAAATCACTATTTGGAACTACGCCAACTTTAACTTTCTACTCTCATCAATTTCTGCATTCTACAGTGCAAATCAATCAATTTGATAAGAAAGAAAGACTTAGATGGGAGGTAGCTCTAAATTGAATGAAAAATTCTCGCCAAGAAGGAAAGAATTAAGGGGAAAAGAGAAGAGACGAAGTGAAATTTTCTCATCGGAGAAGGTTAAAGAGAGAGCATGGTGAGTGTATGAAAGCTGTCCTCCTCCGATTGAGTAGGTGGCGACCTCCGAACGCGCGTGATCCTCTGGCAGATTAACCGAATCGCTCGTTGCCATCTACTGGTGTGGGCAATCGGTGGCTCTGCATCAAAAGCTATTTGCCCTAACTGGAAAAAGAAGAATCTCAACGCGTACAACAAATCAATATAAGTTCGACGAACAATGTCGAAACTGAAGGATAACTTCACCAAAAAGGGGCAGAGAAAACTGCCGAGAACCGGGTTTATACTGCCATGGGAAGTGGACAACAGTTTGAGCTTGCAAAGAGCAACCATGTGCAAAACCATTGTCGCTCATTAAAGTTGCAGAGGAAAATTGGATTTAGTTGAGGTGTTTGGTTGATTTGTTTGGAGTTGCAGAAAGCAAATGAGGATAGAAATAGAATGGGTTTGGGAGGAGAGAATGGCGTGGTGGATTATAAGCATTCAGTCCTTTTTCAAATAGGCCACGTGTTTAGGTTGCCGTTCA